TTTGCCCCTCTAATGCTTAGATGGGGGGAAGTAACTCCCATCATATTGTGAAGGTAAGAGACAGAACCGGGAGGGAACTGGCTGGTTGGAGCAGCGGGGCTGGGAGGGGAACTGGGATGGACTTTTTAAAATTTTTGTTCATACATTTATTTATTTTAGAGAGAGGGGAAGAGAGAGAGAGAAACATCTATGTACAAGAGAAACACCAATCGGTTGCCTCTCCCTCACCCCCAGCTGGGGACCTGGCCCGCAACCAGGCCTGGACCCTGACCGGGAATCAAACTGAGAACCTTTCGGTTCGCAGGCCAGCGCTCAACCCACTGAGCCACACCAGCCAGGACCGGAATTTCACACAGGGTGGTCAAGATCGGCTCGTGGCGAGGGTGGCACTTGAGCAGCCTCCGCAACGAAAGAGAACCAGGGAGTGACTTGCCGTCCATGGCTAGGTAGCTCGGCGGCCACTGGCCTAAGCCGTGCGCTCCTAGAGCCGTGGAGGCCAAAGGCAGGCAGAGCCCGAGAGCGGCGCGTCTGGGCCCCGGGCCGCCGCACAAACACCTGGGGGCAGGCTCCCCGCTTCGGAGCAGCGTCCCTCCGACCGCTCCTTCAGCACTGTCACCTCTCCTCAGCCGGCACCCGGCCCCGCCCCCGCAGCTTCCAGAGATAAACTCCCCACACTCCTCTTCTGCATTCCGATTGCAGGTCGCCCAGATTCTCAAAGCTCCGAAGAGCCGGAGGCTTGAGACGGTGTATTTCAGAAAACTGGGAGGCAGGGGCTGCCGCGGTCACCGGGGCTCCGGGGGCGGAAAGCACGTGGCACGCGACGGAAAGAAGTCCCTCTGGCAGAGGACTCGGTTCTGATTTCAAGGCTCCTGGGTGTCAACATATCCAGGGGGATACTGAGTATTGATAAAAATACTCAGTAACCCTCTTACTTTCTCCAGTGTTACAACATCATGCTCACTTTCCACCCCTCTCTAAGAGCACACTTTTTTCTATACCGGGAAAGGTCTGTTTTTTCACCAGAACAGCTTTGGAACACACGGTGGCCTTGCTTAAGGGTCCCTAGATCCAGGGAGAAGCAAGAAGATACGGACGCCAGTCCTTGCATAAAATAACCAAGCGGAGTTCATCCCCCGTGAAGGGGCACAGCAACCCCAGCCCCTGCACTGGGGAATTTTACACTAAGTACTGTAGTACACATTCCTGGGCGCACTTCAGTAAGGAAAGAGCCCTTAGAGCTGCCCTGACCGGTGTGGCTCAGTCGGTGAGGCGTCCCTCTGCAGGGCAGGAGGTCACTGGTTCGATTCCCAGCCAGGACACATGCCTGGGTTGCGGGTTCAGTCCCAGGTCAGGGGCAAGGGGAAGGCAACCGATCGATGTTTCTCACATTGATGTGTCTCTCCCTCTCTTTCTCCCTCCCTTCCCCTCTCTCTGGAATCAACAGAAGGAAAAAAAATTTAAAGACATGCACAAATCTTATTTTATAAAACCAGCTAAGTCGAATGCAAAAGCATCCACAACCTACCTCTAGAAGGAGGCTGCAGTGGCAGTAGCTAGAACACAGTGCACTCAAAGCCCACGGGAGGCGCCTGCGCCTAGGGCCTCATTACTCCCCAGGCTCCACTGACGGGTCGGCAGGTCTGAAAGCTCTTTTTCCTCCTGTTGCTGAGGAGCCGCTGCGGCCAAGGGGAGGCGCTGGGAGTTACGCCGCCTGTGCCTCTAGGAGCCGCTGGCCTGGGGCCTCGCAGGTCGGCTGCAGGGCAGAAGCCTAGGGCCTGATGACCCTGAGGGGCTCTGGGAGCCCCCTTTCTCCGGCCAGTGCCGGGGGCCCAAGCAGCGGGCACAGAGTGGCTGGGGGAGCGGAGAGAGGACCCGAGGGCCCTCACGGGCTTCTCCTGCCAACCACAGGACACTCCGAGTTTACACAAGGACAGGGCATCTCCGCAACGAGCTCCAGGCACCGTCCCTCGGGAGGGCGGGCACGGTCAGCGGCCATTCCCATTCAGGCCCTGCCTGGGCTTCAGGAGGAGAATGGGATGCAGCCACGGTCCACGGCCCGTGCAAGCCTGCGGGCACTCTGACCCACAGCCCCCCGGTGACCTCCAAAGAGTCCTACGCTGGGCGCCCAATTCTGTGGGCCCCCGAGGACGAGCAACTGAGCTGCAAAAGGCCAAGCTGTTGGCTCCCCGGCGGGAGGGGATGACCACCACCCAGGGTCACCACCAGCCTCCAGAAGTGTGACGTGCAAACTGCGTCCCGTTCTGTCCACACTGTGCCTGCGGCGGGGCGGGGGGTGGGGGGGGCGGGGAGCGGCAGCTCCCCCACGGGGCAGACCCCCAGCCTGGCTCACGTTCCAGCCCCCGCTCTTACCGGCAGTGAGGGACCCGCGGGACGAGTCCATTCACAGCTCCCACGTGAAATAAAAACAGGAAGAAATGTAACCGCCAGGAGCTGATGTTTGTTAAATGTTCAGAACAATGCCTGGGAGGGAATAAGCACTCTAAAGTGTTTGCTAAGTAAAAAACTATACATGTGCACTCCTTTCGTCTAACAGGTATGTGAATTCCTTTAAAGGGATGAAGCGGGGCGAGACAGGCCTTCCCCAGACAGCCTTTAGGTCCCCTCAATTGTGGCCCAAAGTGCTACCAGCTAGGTGCGGGGTGCAGGGGGGCCAGGGCGGAATAGCCGCTGTCTCCTGGGCCCCCTCATTCCAGGTGGTTTATGAGCAACTAGCGGCTACAGTGAAACCAGCTCAGGCAGAACAAAGAGACAAAGACGAGCATCCCAGGTTGCAGCTGGCTGTCGGACGCCATCAAGTATCTCCCGTTTTACGCCCTCAGAGGCGCAGGAGCTCCTTGCATCCCCACGCACTGAGCACCTGCAACGGCACATCTGTGTGTGTGTGATTCAGGGCTTCACAGGCATCCAAGGTGTTCTGAGAACAACATCTTTCAGATGAAACTCGGAGCAACCAATGTAACAGAAACTCAACCTGAGGTGTTTAGATGTAGATCTCAGGTATAAAATTCCACGTGATGAATTATAAAGAAATCTCCAGAATTCCTTTCAGAGACACCTTAGGATAACAGTTGTGGCAAGTGGGCTCTGCCACACCAGCCCACTGAAAGCAAACATTACCAGTCAGCTAGTTGCTTGGCTTGGCGAAAGCATCGGCTCAGTCATTTAGGTTTAGTGTTGAGAGAGGTCTGCTTTTAAGACCTGCGAACCTTGCAGACGGGATTTGAACTGTCCACAAAGATGAAAAATCCCTATGCAACAAAACTGCTATTTTGGAAAGAATTGTGTCCCTGAAGCAGGCGAGGCTACCCCCCGGGCACAGTGCCACACACACTGATGACCAGCAGAAGTAGAACGAAAAGAATGCTGGGTATTTTCATCCAGCGTGACTTTTAAAGGGGGCGGGGGTGGGCATTGCATGGGTAGGTTCGGATGCATGTCTTCTGCGATAAATACTGGTCTTGGATTCCTTTCTCCGTTATGTCCGGTGGGTGATTCATGGAGAGGAAGTTATTCCAAAGGTTTTCAAATTCTGAACATTCCTGACCAGTGTGGCTCAGCTGATTGGAGTGTCGTCCCATATACCGAAAGGTTGAAGGTTCGATTCCCGGTCAAGGCACATGCCTGTCTTGCAATTTGGTCCCCAGTTGCGGCGCCTTCCAGAGTCAATCAATAATGTTTCTTTCTCACATCACTGTTTCTCTCCCTCTCTTTCCCTCCCTTCTCCTCTCTCTAAAAATCAATGAGTGTGTCCTCCGGTGAGGATGGATAAATAAGTAAGTAAATAAATACACATCTGAACAAACGGAAAGAACGCGAGTGAGGAGGCACTGCACAAAGACCTTACAATACCAAGCTGGGGCATTATCATGAACACAAACACAACGTCTTTGCTATGGCACCGCCTGGGGCAAGAAACTTTTACATCAATTTCCCTTTCAGGAGAAGGGAGACGTCCCCTCCCAACGTCTTGTAACATTTATTTCTTAATAAATTGAGAAAACCAAGTCGTGGTTTCCAGTACTAACTCCCAACTATTACAGAGTTTCACAACCCTCTAAAAGAGAACGGACAGAGAGAAGTAAGTTACGCAATATCCATTTACCTTGACTTCATTAATTTAATGCAAATCTCAACCAAAATAAGGAAGTCGAGAGCAGAGAGTGGACGGAGCCCTCGTTCAAACTCGACACACAAGAATGCCACTAGCTCGCGTGTGAAAGAACCCGCTTCAGCAAGGGCGTGCCCACCCCACCCCACCCCCACCCGAGGCTGCCACTTGCAGCCCGGGACAGCCGGGCTCCCAGGAGGGCTGCGGTCGCCAGGCGCTTCCAGCCTCCAGCCTCCCTCTGGGCTCCAGCTGCATCCCCACCGCAGCTGCTCCCGGGGACGTTGCTCGCGCAGCCGAAGCCCCTGCGCGTCGTCCGCACCGGCAGGAATGTCCCCTCCGGCCGCTCCCCGCTATTTCCTAGCACCCCGTGACATTTTCTCACAACTACACCTCCGCGCTCGCACCGCGACCCTCCCGCGGCCCACCCACCCCGACTCTGTGCGCCTGCGCCGCGCCCAGGACCCCCCCCTCCCCCACGACCCCCTCCACGGGACCCGGGTCCCCTCACGGGAGGGGACCGGGGAAGTGTGGCGCGGAAAGGTCTCTCCTAGGTCTCCCAAGGCAGGCGCTGGACGCTAGAGAAATGAGCACCCTTCGGGGTTGGGGCGGGGTTGGGTGGGGACAGACGGGAAAGCGCCGAGGCGCCGCCGAGAGGCCGGGGGAGCCTCCCTGTCACCGGGGTCCCTACACGCTCCAGCACCGGGACAAATGCAGGACCGGGGGGCGCGGCGCTCGGCCGCCCGACCTCTCGGGTTCTCGCAGAGGGTCTCCCGGGGCGTCCCCGCTCGGCCCCCGCCCGCATTGTTAGCGCTGCCGGGGCTGCTCGGGTTGGCGCCCCGGCGGCGCAGCCCCGGCCCGGCCCGGCGCCTACCTCCAGCAGCAGCGCCAGCAGCAGCGCCAGCAGCAGCGCCGCCGCGCTCAGGGCCAGGCGGCTCATGGCTCCGCGTCGTCTCCGGGCGCGCCTGGCGCTCGCGTCGCACGTACCCCGCGCTGGGCCACAGGCCGGGCAGCGGGCGCTGGGCGGCGGGCGGGGAGCTGGGACCCAGCCGCCCTCGTCGCGCTCCGCCCCGTGCCCCGCCCTCGGCCGGAACGCGCTGGGGCGCGCGCCCGCGGACACCTGGAGCGCGGCGGGGGCGCTCGGCGGCTGGGCCGGGACCCGGAAAGGGGCCACTGGGTCCCTCCAGTGGCAGAGGGGCTGCCAGGGGTCTCCTCCGGCGGGGAGGGGGCCGTCCTGTCACCACCGAATAGACCCGGGAAGCCTCTTTTCAAAGGATCAGAGTCTCCGCGAGGTTCTGCAGGCAGGTGGCTGCCGCTGAACCCACTGCTCCTTCTTGCACTCGGTGCCTCCCGGTTCTTCCCTCGCCGTCTGATTCCTGCGAACCGAGGGTCCATGCATCCACCCTCACGTGACGGCAAGGACAGCCCAAGGACGGGGAGTGGGGGGCCGACTGCCCACAGGAGGCTGCCGGCACCTCGCCTCTCGCTGTGGTCAGGGCTTTCTACTCCTGTCCTGGACTCCGCCAAAAGCCGCCCCACGTTGAAGTCCCCCCCATCCCCGCCCCCCGCGGCGGAGTGTGCGGTGTCCTTCGCCTCTGCCGACCCGCCTTCCCGCCCCCACCACCTCGCGCCCACCAGGTGCCTTTTCACACCGTGGCTCAGATCCCACCTCGTGTCTGCCGTTATTCAACCGGCATTTACTGAACTTGGAGGATGTGCCACAGCCTGAGCTACCGCGGGGGCGTGCAGGGGACGGAAGAAAACCTCGGGCGGAGTCCAAGGGGGGAGACAGTCGCTCACACAGCTAAGATACAGAGCGCTCGGTGCACAGACCCGCAGGGTCGGGGATGAGGAGGACCCGCCCGTGAGCGCAGTCGGAAGGAGTGGGGTCGGGAAACTAGAGGCCTCTGCGGCGGGTCCCAAACACTTCCCGGCCATCAGTGCGTGATCTCGTCTGATGACTGCGCCGCACGCACCACCAGACGGTACCAGTTAGAACCAGAACAGGCCAGTAAAGCCGAAGAGACGCGTGCGGCCCTCCTTATGGCAAGGCGCCTTCAGAGAAGCCCCCGAGGGGCTTGAGACTCTAGCAACTCTGACTCTTTACCATCAGAGCAGGTCACTACTCTTTTAAGAGTCAAAGTTAACTTGCAGAAAACTGAGCGGCAAACCTTGCTGTATAATAGAGATGCAAATGTGTGGGGTTTGGGGGATTTTCTGGGTTTGTTTGGTTTGCTTTTTTGGGGGGGGGGATTTCTGGTTCTTACCGCTGATGCAAATTATGTCTTCCTGTGAAAATGCAAATGACCTCTGCTAGGGGCAGAATCTTACCCGGTTTTCTATTTAATGTATCAATTTCACCCCAAGAGTTCCCCCCTCCCCCCACCCCACCGTCTTTTTCACTGGCAACGTGTCCAAGGCAGTTGCCTGCATTCCCCTTTGAAGCAACTTTGTCATTCTAATAGTTCCCCATGCATGGATCAAAATACAAGTTTGGCACGTGTTCACTAGGGGATACATGTACTGATATGTACTCTGTCAACTGGAAAAACAGAATCACTAGGTATCCTGCCCCCAAAAGGAGTTTCTGGGGCAAGGAAAGGGTGGCAGTCCAGCTCATGGGCAAGCCACATGCGCACACACTGAATGGGACCGGGACCAGGAGGATGAAGTTAAGGGGAGTGCCTGCCCCAGGCACAGCGGTGGGGAGTAAACGTAGGGCAGTGACCGGGAGTGCAAGGACGTTCCCCAGGGCCTAGGTCCATGCGACGGACTCTGTCGCTGTCAAAATTGTACCATCTCCCCCCTTTCGATCCCGCTCTTCCTCCAAAAGAAAGTATCTCTGATCAACAGTCCAGTCTTCTGATGTCAGCAGCCCTATGTCCCTCGCCATCCCAGAGGACTTCCGATGTCTGTCCTCTCTCCCACCAGAGGGAAGGCGGGTGAATCTGGAAGCAGCTGGTGTCCTGAGTTAACCAGCAGAGGTGAACAGAACTGAACAGTAACAATAGGGAACAGAATTAAAACAATGTAACAAACAGTCCACACGATCAGCTTAAACCAGGTGCTCAAACCTGTAGGTGGTGAAACAAAGATGTCATTGTTTTGGGCAGATCTCCGCTCTTGAGGACAGACCCAACAACTGGAAAAGTTTTCCCGTTTCACGGTAGATTAGGAAAGGTAAACGAGTAAGAGTTAGTAGTAAGAAAAAGAGAGGCACAGGCTCAACCTGGTCATTTTGGGGAAGCTGTCCCTGCAGAAGCTTCCTGCTGCCATTTTTGTCAGGCTGTGTGCAGGCCTCGTCAGGGTTGGGTACCTTCCTAAGGTGAGACACGTGCGTCCAAGTCTACTCCCTGGACTTTAGCAGCACAAGGCTGTCAGCCACACAAGGAAGTCTTTACGGAGGTATCTCCACCAGCGAACATGTCCAGGTTGTAAAATGTAGATTTTGTTTTCTGCCTCCTTGGAGCATGCTGTAAACAGATTGCTCAACCAGAGTGTGGTGATTTTCAAGAGAAGTCGTTAGGCCTTTATGGTATTAAAGTATGTCTCCTAGTATCAACTGTGGATCAAAAGGTGCGTGGGGTGTCCTGGAGTTAATCATCTCTGGTGAGAGCCTTTGGGCCCAAAGCAGGTGGATCGCAGATTTAAAGGAACCAGCAGCAATGCTTTGGGCCAGACTATGGGAAGGGTTTCTACCAATTTTGCCCATTGAATCTTAATAATGTTAGAGTGTTCAACTGAGTCTGAGGATCGAGGGTGGTACGCACTGTGACACCGTTGTAAACGTGGCCAAGCAGCACAGACTCGTTGAAGCGCCTGGCCAGTCAAACAGGCTCCTCCATCACTGTGACTTCGAGGGACATTCCCCACGCTTGATCATCTTCCCTAAGGGGATGTCAGCCACAGAAAAGGCAACGGCCTGTCTGCAAGGGAAAGCGTCAGCCCAGGGAGAGATCATACACATCAAGACTGAGATATATTTCTGTCCCTGAGATGGGAGGAGCCATGGGAGAGCGATTGTGCAAACCTCCAATGGCCCATCAGACACATGGCCAGGGCAGCGTGCACGGACTTTCCTGGGTGTGCCTTTGGCCACGTGGGGCGAGAGAGCAAGGTGCTTTTCACAAGGGACCGCGCTCGCTTACGGGAAAGATGCGTCTGTTACCAAGGAGACTACAGGCCTAGGACACGACTCCTGCCGTGAGCTGCCCTGTCAGGGACTTGTGATCCTATCGTCCTCTGGGGTCACGTGCCCTCACTGAGCTTGTCCGTCCCTGTTGATCACTCAGTGGAGATTTCAGAGTGTCCAGTAGGACAACAGCGTTGTTATTTGGTCTGAACCAGAGCTTTCTCGTGTATCCACCCAGCAATTGTTCGATTTCCAATCTTGTGTTTCTTTCTCTGGGGCCGACGGTGGGGCGTCTCTGGCCAGGGCGTCTAAATCGCTCACTGGGGAATCACCCCCTTGGGCCGTGATGGACGTGTGACACTGCCGATCCCTTAAAGGGCAGCGTCCCCCGTGGGCAGCGTTGGCCACGTGATTTCCTTTCGCTTCCAGAGAGTTGAGCTGCAAATGCCCCGGGATTATTAATAATGCAAAGACAGCAGGTGAAAGCATAGCATCCAATAATTCCCGAACATAGGGGCCATGTTTTCATTTCGTTTCCGATGGGAGCACGGAAGCCACGTTGCGTCCACGACATGCCAGTCATGAGCTGCTGCCCAGGCGTCGCGCCTCCAGTTTAAACACCAGCGGCTTTGCCCTTGGCGGCACCATGCCCCCGGTGGGAGCGCACAGCTTGGCCTGGTGGGCCGAAGCAGCCCGCCGCAAAGATGCCGCCTCCACTGCGTCCTAAGGGCTCACGCTCGCACCTCCTGCACAGCACTTCCCATTTCTGTTTTCGAAAGGAGAACTGTCTGTAACCCACGAGAGACCAGCCTTACCTAGAGGAGCCTCTGGCAGTTCACCACGACGGGCCAGGAGGTGAGGACTCGGGGCTGAGCTGTCTGAGGGGCTTCCCGGGTGTCAGAGGGAGAGGCGGAGCTGGGCGGGGGTTCCTGTGCCGGGAAGGAGGCACGTGAGGAGCGGTTAGCGGGGCGGGGCCGGGGGGGGGGTGCTTCATAGGGAGCAAGGGCGCTGGTGTGGTGAGAAGTCAGGAGAACAAGGCTTCCGCTGCTTGCGGTGCGGTGGTTAGAGGGGATCCCGGAGCAGGGTCCTCTGCGGCCTTAACCCCGAGGACAGTCGCCGCAGTGGCTCTGGGGCAAGGAGGGAACAGCCGCTGACGAGAACATCCTCGGGGTCTGGGGCGAGTCCCCTGCATCCTCGGGGTCTGGGGCGATTTGCTGTCTTTCATGTACAAGAAGGAAGAGGGGATCCACTCGCGGGGATGCCCGGAGCAGGCGGGCTTATTAAACTCTGCTCTAACATCAGGTCAGGGCTCATTCTTCCATAAACGCAGTTTGGGTTTGCCACACGACAGCGATTCGTTACGGTGTGAAGAGAAGCTTCCCGAGCGCACCCAGAGGGAGAGTTGGAAGAAGCCCTGCGGTTCCTCGGTGCCTCGGGGAGGCGGGTCAGGAGGCCGAGGGAGAGGCTCCCGGTGCCTGCAGCCCTTGAACTTGCCACAGGCCCTTTTCCAACGCCCTGGATCTCGGCAAAAATGGCAGGAACATGTGGCTGTGTGGTTTCTTGGTGGGGCTTTCATTTACCAAGGCGGAACATGAAAACCCTTAGCACCCTGACTTCTACGCGGCCCATCAGGACCAGCCCCGGCTGGGGCCTCTCGGACCCGTGTCTGGAGGGTCTGTCTGCGCCAGGCAGCCCTGCCGTGGGGCCTCCGTTGGGAGGTGTCTTCCCACGTAGTGGTAGGGCTGTATCAGCTGCCAGCGTCTTCTCACCAGGAGGACTTGCTTCCCCCACGGAGCTCACCCCAAAGCGGGGAGACAAGACTGCCCACCACACACTCAATGGAGACCAAGAAATGAGGCAAGGTTAGGCGCCCAATGTGCTGGCCCAGAGAGGAGGAGCGGGGAGCCTCGTGGGGAGAAGAAAGGCGCCTCCCTGACCAGGCAGTAGGTTGGCCGACTGTCCTGGGAAAGCCTGCTGTCCCCCCGTGGGGTCCACCACCGTCTGGGGAACTTCTAGCCATGTAGCCACTTTCCCGGACGGAGCAGCCCTGTGATGGACGGACGGACGGACAGACGCAGCCGCTTCCTCTCCCTCCAGCCCCCAGGCTCTGTGTTAACTCCTGCCTTCTTTCTTCCTTTCCAGTTGACCTCCTCCCCCTGAAACCAGCAGCCGCCACCAGGTGTCCCTCCTCTCCCGCGGGTGAGCACCACCTCGCTCTGTTTGCAAGTCAGAAGCTGCAGCCGGAAACGCCTCCCAGCTCAACTCAGTTACACACATTCCCACCGTCGAGCCTCGCCCTGTGCCCTGAGGACGCCCCGAGGAGAAAGTCAAAGTGTGCAACACACGTACACAATTGCACAGCAAAACCTGGGGGATTCAGAGCAAATGAACTTACAGACCTTGAGAAGTCGATGCCAAGGCGTTGATATTAAAGAAGTTTGCCAGGTTGGGGGCAGGGCGGATGCAGAGTAGAATTCTCAGGTAGTCTGTCTGTGCCGTAGGAACTGAGACTCGCTTGGCACTGGAGAAGCCCCCGTTGCAGTCTTGGCCGTGTGTCCCGTCTCCTGGGCCCCTGCGGGTTCTCACGCCACACCTTCCGCTGTCAGAACAGCCCTCGATGCCCTTCGGAAAAGTTGGCCAGCTCTTTGGAGTTTAAGCCAACGCTCAGGAATGTCATCAAGAGAGGTCACAGCTACATGGGGACTCCTGCCTGGGACCCGAACCTGCATGCAGGTGCACCCCGAACCCTCTCTCTGGCCAGCCTCCCAACCAGGCGGAGCCCCGGACTCACCCCGGCGGTTCCTTAAAACCTCGGGTCCCCACGCCACCCCGGCCCGCGACGTCAGCCTCCCCGAGAGCAGGGCCCACAGGCCGTCCCCATCTCCCCCACGTCTCCTTTGCAGTTGGGAGCCGGGGCCGTGTCTCGGTCTGCTCTCGAATTTTCTGGAGTGTCACGCAGACTGCCGGGTCCAGCACCTCTGTACCCACTGGTCCCACGGAATTAACTCTGTTCTGCATTGCTGTTTCATTGTCCTTTTCCTCTTCGTAAAAACTAGACTTACCTTTCCATCAGGTTTTCTCTGAAACAACTTTCCTGAGAGGACTTTGTCTTCCTCAAATGAGATTAAGTGACCACAGGAACACCAATAAGCATATTTTCATGTTTCCTCTTTTTTTAAAAATGGGCTCCCTGCCACGACCAGTGTGGCTCTGTGGAATGGACGTCATCCCACAAAGAGAAAGGTCACCGGTTCAATTCCAAGTCTGGGCACGTGCCTGGGTTGTGGGTTCAGTCCCCAGTCGGGGCACATATGAGAGGCAACCGATCAATATTTCTCTCTCACATAGATATCTCTCTCTCTCTTTTGCCCTCCCTTCCCCTCTCTCTAAAAACAAATAAAATAAATTGTTTAAAAATGTACTTCCAGACCCTGCAGAAGGTCGGCTCACGGTCTTAACACTCCTTCTCCTCATTCCAGCTGCTTTTTGGCAAACTCGTTTACACAGAAGATAGATCAGCAGCCATCTCTGAAGATCCATTTCTTTTGCTCACCCTCTACTGAATTTAAATGAAGTCATTCCTTTAAGCTGAAAGAAAATCAGTTTAGACACCCTGACTCAGAGCGATCTGTTTCCATGAAAATGATCTTTTTAAGCTATAAAAGGTGAGCTGTAATGCCGCAATATTTTCACTCAGTCCAGGTGACCTGCACACCAAAGTTCTTCCCTTTTCAACCAAAAAATACCAAAACAAAGACGACATGCGGCCAGCCAGTATTTTAAAGGAGGGTCCATGGAAGCTGTTCTCTGTGGACACAAACGCCCGGGCCAAGCTCAGGGGGGGTCCCCCGGCTGGGGTCAAACGGGCGGGACAGTGCAGGTCCGGGAGGATCTGTCCCCAAGGGGTGAAAGGACAGGTGGGACACAACTTGGTGTTGTGAGAGCCATGCACTCCTTGGAGTAGAAACCGTTTCTTCCTGAGCACGAGATGCATCCACTGTGCAGGCAGAACGGTGTTTCAGAGCATAGCACATGCAGACTCTAGGAGAGAGATTGGCATTTTCCTCTACGGTTTCTGAAACGATGTCATAGCAAATCCTGATGACTATTGTGTCACATCGCCTCAACAGGTCACTAAGAATTTTCCAGTAAACCCACATTTCAGATTTTTAAAATTTTCTGTGTAACTATCAATTTTAAGAAAAGGAGTAGTATGCAGGATAGATGTTTTTGAGTGTGACAATGGATAAGTAAAACATCTCGTGTTTATTTCATTAACTATTTAGTGTCATACAATGTGTGTTTGTGTTTAAATGTAGGCCGTACCCAAATGTCCTTGATCAACTCAAAATGACAAAATCATAACACATTCTTCCACAGACACGCACCACATACTTGTATTAAAGATTCTCCACGACTCCTGTGCTTTCAAAGCCCGTTTTTACCACACTGTGTCCTACGAAACAAATATGTGCCTCATCTTTTGTGCCAACACCAGGCAGCTTCCAAATATTCCAGACATACCATCTCCTACTGTAGTTTAGTCTGGACACAGGTGGACCAGATTTTTTTCCAGGTTAGCGGGGTACTTAAAGATTTTTTTTTCCCTGTGAGAAACAAAGCCAACAAAGCTTCTACATTTACATATAATGATACATTTCCTTAGTTTCCCACTTGAATGTAAGCTTCTCTAAGTTGGGAGTTTGCAGAAAGCTCAACAAACATTGGGTGAATAAACTGGGCTCTCTCTTTTGTTCTCCCTCTCCCCCCACGATACACATGTGACTACTAGCAAATACCAAGAGGCAAACCAGCTCCACAGCCCACCCTCCGCCCGTCCCTGGGGAAATAAGAGTCTGAGTTCAATCACCTGAGCAGAATCTCTTTTATTAAAAAGATTATCTGTCACCCGGTTCCCTTGGCCACAAATGCTGTCCTTCACCGTGGGAGTGTGGGAGGCACTACACACCTCTCTGGGATGGTGAACTTATTCTGGTGACAAAGCACCATTATAAGAGATGTCCTGTGTAGCGGGCTGAATTATCTTGTGTCCTACTGGTTGTCCTGCATGCCAGCCACCCGCCTCACCCCATTAAAGTGGAAGGACCTGGCCATAAACTGAGTCCCTGTGGCCACTTTCCACCCCTTCCCTGGCCTTGGAGTTGTGTGTATCCCTCTGGCAGGAAGGTGGCCGCAGGACGGGCTCACTCTCCAGATAATCCACCGTCTGCAGAAATGCCGGGCATCCGCACGCGCCCAGCACAGGAGAAGCGTGGGGTCAGCAGGTGCTCTTGGAAAATCATCTCTTCAGTTCTGTCCCGCGTCCAGTTGGTTGAGTCGCTTCACAATCATGCGGTTGAGTTTTTTGAGATCATCTATGTCCTTTCGCTCAGCTGCCAGTCTTCGCAGCATGTTGTCCATCTTGTTTCCAGTCTGAACTTCAAAACGGAAAACAGAGTGTCACATTGGTTTCCAACGTGCCCCCTCCTGACTCGTCAGAGCCCCGAGTCGGTAACCATGGGAAATTGTATCCGTGGGGAATTGGAACCCACCCCACCGTTCTTTTGACATTGTTTCTGTACGTGCTGACTTTGACTAGTAATGCAGCTTATAGATAAACAGCGTGTTTGCATAAAGTCCTGGGAACTAACTTCAAAAAATACAGACTTTGACCTTCAGGCATCCCAGCTCTGGGAGGTTTGCTGACCTTCAACCACAAAACCAGGATGATGCACACCAGACTCTCCCTTGACCAGTTTTGATGTTCTTGACTGCGCTCATCTGCACGTAGAGACCTTTCCCACTCCCTCCCCTTGATCTGCTGGTTCTGTTCCCCTCCCCCTCCTTAGAAACACCTCTGCCCGCACTGAGACGTGGAGGTGGGCTTTGGGACAAGAGCCCCCCATTTCTCAGGCGAACGGCACTTGAATAAACCACTTTCCTTCTCACCAGCACCTGTCTCATGAGCTTGGCTCTTGCCGCGGCGGGCAGCGGGACCTGCCTTCGGTTGCCGCCTGAGCCCTGCAAAGCCCTCTTGGCAAACACGCTGCTCCCGCAGTGCGCGTAGCCACGCGGCCCGGGAGAGCCGCTGAGGGTTGCATCGCCCATCAGGTGGCTTATGTCCACGCCCTCTCCGCGCCAGCCTGTGCAGCCTTGGGAGCGGGGTGTGTCTGGGGCCCGGTGGGCCCAGGCTTGAATCCCAGTTCCGCTGGGAAAATGTCAAGAGCTGAACTCTCTGGACCATCGTCTTTCCTCAGTAAAACTGAAGTATTAGGCACTACCTTGAACGGTAGAGAAAGGATTTGTTAATAAATTCATGTGTCTGGCACAGAGCACTTGCCCAGTAAAAAGGCACTTCTTTACTCAGGTCTTCTTTCTATTTCTCAGTAGAAAACACTAGAAGCAAATATATAATAAACCCTTATGCATTCACTGGTTGACTCTTGTATGTGCCCCCACCGTGGATCCAAGCACAACCTTGGCTCTGACCCACCGAGCTACTCAGCCAGGGGGCAGGATGACACGTGAGGCATCAGTTTATGTTGGCACAACATTTCAGAAGATAATCCACACGAAGGAGCTGGAAACTGAAGGTGACTCTATGCTACACACCTGAATTCATGGGACGAGCTACACGTATGCACTGGATTAAGAAAACCTAGAATACATGGGAATAAACTGCCTACCACTTGACAGCTAGAGACTCCAAGTGAGAAGTTCAAGCATCGCGGAAACAGGCCCTGTCCTCGCGCACTGCCGGCACCGTGCGTGCCCCCTGGGCCTTTGCTGAGCAAAATTAACCACCAGCCAGGACGTGAGCGCAAGCAAGCCGCGGAGCGCGCCCGCCCTACTCACTTATTAGGAAAATCACGAAGGAGACGAGCGCCAGGCTGACGATCAGCACGCCGATCAGCCCCAGAAAAAACAGGCTGTAGTTCGTGCTTCCGGAGGCAGCGCCGCCCCCTGGGATTTTCTCCTCGGGCACTAGCACGAAACAAACAGACAGCAGCGGTCACAAAGCACACAGCGGGGCCGCAGGACGGGCCGTCCGCAGCGCTAGGGACCCCACGGGGGGCTACGCCCACGTTCCCTCTAATCGCTCCACGAAGGGGCCGAGGTGTCGGGCCTGACTTTGTGCGCCGCGGCTCCTTTGGAAATTCTTTCTGTTCTCCTAGTTGGTATTCAAAGGCCGAGCAGGGCCCAACTAGCTGCTCACCCCGGTTTGCAGCGTTCTTTGAAGATCGTGCTAATGCTGAAGTAGCAGAATGTGGATTTTGTCGGGGGCGGGGGTCAAGGAGTTACAGGTTCCGAGCAGAGACTCTATCGCCCTTTTCCCGACGTGACCCAGGAGGAAGAGCGGCCGACTGGGGACGCCCCGGCTGGGCGCAAGGCCACCGCTCTGGGCTTTCTTCCAGGAAACTGATTTCACAATAGGAAACATCGGTTAAGCCTGGACCCATAGGAACAAAAAAATGGCCCTGGTGGATATTAGTTTCTTAAAGGGGTTTTCGGGATGGACATGCTCTGGAAACAAGGTTCTTTCAAACATTTCACCCTTGAACTAGGGGTGCGGCTATGCATATAAAACAGCCAGTTTCAACCCAAACCATGAGTTGTCCGCATTTTGTGACCACTTTGAAGGCCTGCCTGCTAACCCCTAAATTAAACTGAATGCGAAGAACGGAAACTTGGGGGACCGGAGAGATTTGAGTTGGTTTTTATTCTCTACTCAGTCCTACAGGCTGTGCTGGTTGCTCACAGACAGACGGGCGGCTTATGCCCCACATGCCCTATGTCACCCCCAACAGCGTTTGCTGCCAAATCAGAGCGACCCCCTCAGCTGGCGCCTGAACACCTATGTTTATGGAGGCTGACTGTTTCAGTTAAGACAGGCAAAAAAAAAACAAAAACAAAAAAACCGTAACTCTTTAAAATAAAAAGAAAAGCAAGATTCGGAAAGAGAATAGAACAGCTATAAAATCAGGATGATATGAGTTTAGAGCGCCCCCGAAACAAACGCCAAGCGCGCCGCCAACACCTGGGTTGCAACGTCAGTGTTTAAGCTAGAAAAGATGGGACGTCGCTTACAATATGTTGGGGACAAGACACGCATTTAGTAGTTAGCAGAGTTTTTTGGTTTTTTCCCCCCTACCCTCCACTTTTTTTTTTTTTTCCTAGCCCAGTAATTGGGGCAAGTTCTCACTTGTTGGAAAAAATGAAGTTGACTTTTTTGACCAACAAAAGTTTAATGATTTTCCTATAAATACCACATAAACGTGTGCAACACTTTCCTGGCAATTCCCTGTGCAGTACGACGTCCCTAGGAAAGGGGACGCTAAGAGGCTCCACAGCCTCTGGGACCTGCCCTGCAGCCTCCCTCGCCTTCCCAGGGACTGAAACTCCACGGGGACTTCTTAGAACTTTGAAGACAGGGGTTCAGATCTTACTTAGGAGCCAAGAAAGCCCAGAGCGTGTGTGCTCTTCAGAGAACAAAAGCAAACACAGTCTGACAATCAGTAGCACTCCTTCCTGGTGCCAAACTGTTTCCAAGGCCGCCCCCGCCCCCCCACACACCCAGACGGGCCTCTGCTATTTTTAGGTGGCCCAGCAGCCCGGCCGTCGGCCTCGGAGGGCGCACGTACGGAACAGGTGCTGGGGTTCGCTGGGACAGAGGTTGAGCTTGTGCAGGTCGTTTATGGAATCCACGATGTAAAGCTTCCGATCTTCAGCCACGCCACGCGAGCCAGCGTGCCGAGGGGAGCGGTTCATGGTCCCTGGAAGGAAACGTCGGCGTCAAACACAGGGTGGCCGGGGGGCCTGGTGTCACAGGAATGACAGCCCGCGGGCAGCCCCCACACACGACAGTGCCAACCGGAGGCCTGGGAAAGCTTTGCTTGTCCAGAAGAAAACATTGTCTTTGGGGGACAACTTGCTACCTATTCTTTTTGCTTTGCTTGCCAGGAGGCTTGGAGTCCAGCATGAGGCCCAGTTGGAACAACTGTGCAGCGCTTCGTGCACCCTGCTTACCTGCGTACACTCTCCCCGCCGCCGCCGTTTCTCCATTCTGCCTACGTTTTCCCTGGGACCCCTTCTTAATTTGTCATTGATTTTTAAATATTTCCCCTTTTAAAAATAGATTTATTGATTTTTTTTTGAGAGAGAGATAAACATTGATGTGAGAGAAAAACATCAATTGGTTGCCTCCTGTACATGCCCCGACCAGGGATCGAACCCACAACTTTTAGGTGTTTGGTAATGACACTCCAACCAACTGACCCACCCAGCCAGGGCTAACATATTTCCCTTGTATCACGTTGTTCGTATTCTGGCTAGATGACTCAAATCCTTTGTGCAAGAAGACTATGTCTAAACATCCGGAAAGATAAAATTAAGCTCGTCAGCCTGTGACCAGAAGAGAATAGTACTGGGAACATTCTAATCGTTGTGATTTTTATACTGTCCCCCAATATGGTGTATGAGTCTCCGCCTTGAACATGTTCTTGGGCCACCAGAGGTTGACTGCGTGTCCTCCAGACAAAATCGGAACAAGCCGAGGCGCTACAGGGAGAAACCTGGAGCCGTGAGGCCAGGCTCCGGGACTGCTGGGGTGTCCCCACGCCCTGACTTTCCCTCAATCAAGGCCACCTACATCATAAATCACTTTTAAATTGAGGTTTACATTGAAGGTAATAGTCCCTAATAACAGCCCAAGTTCAAGCAGCGTTGAAAAGTCTCAGTAGATTAAAAGGTCTATTTTAAGGTGTCTCTCCAGCAGACAGAGACCTCGTGGCCTTTGAATTAATTATGTGAAAGGAAGGCTCTAGGAAGACAAATTGCAATTACTATCAGAGCTCTGTCTTAGCGCCATCCTTCCCACAAATGAGGAAAGTGACCTTTAGCGGGCGGCCGATTCGCTGTGTCTCCCCCCGGGTTACCTGTCCCCCCGCCACCCCTCCCTGATCCTCAGCGGCCTCTCAGCTCAAACCTCCCCTCCGCTGAGGGTCCACCTGCCTTTCCTTCCTGCGCTTGCCGGACCTTGTACCCTCTTCCGCCGGCACGTGTAGGCATTTCAGAGCCCTTATCTGCATACATCTCTGGCTTCCCCCGCGACGGAAACCCTGAAGGGCTGGAGCCAGCCTTCTTCTTCAACGCCCCGTGCCAAGTTTAGAAGCCAGGGACTTCTGTTCAGGTGGAACACCTGAAATATTTTGTCTAGGGTTTTAATCTCACTATTTTTCAAAGACTGTGAGGCAGTTAATAATAAGGACACTGACAGAAATAAACCCGCAGGTAGCAGTTCCCGTGCGACGCCCGTCCGGGCTAGGGGACTTTGTGCCTGCCTGATTGGGGCGGCGCCTCTTTACCTTCTCTTAACGTTTTTCAAAACACCCCTTAACAGCCAGCTCCAGAGTGAAGAGGACTAGAGCAGGGGAAACCAACTTTAGAAAAGAAAAACAGAAACCATTCGAACCTGTAGAAGATCTGAAAAAAGGATCAGCCGTTTACTAAGCAGCTTAAACTGTACTATAAAACATCAAAACCCATAAAAAAATAAAATAATATAAAATAAAGTAAAAGCATCAAAACCCAGCAGCTTCCCGCTCATACCCAAGACCTGTTAGCACTTGTAAAAAATATGTCCCCAAGACCCTAATCAAAATATACAGTTTGTTCGATAAATCATGGACCAGTTAAAATTTTTTTCAAAGTTAAAAACTAAAAAGGGGGTTATCCTGAAATGTTAATTACCAAGAATACATACTTCCCTGGTTGTTTTAGATAAGGTACTACTGATACTGATATCACTAAATTCCAAATATAAATAGACCTCAAAATACACCTCATGGACATTTCTAACAGAAAGACTTAAAGTGACCAAAAAAGAAAAAAAGTAGCATCATAAAATCAGAACTATGGACTGATGTCTTGTGACATTTCTAAACAATTCTTCTAGAAAAGTTTTCTATTTCATCATCCCTTTGTACTTTATTGTCCCAAGTGCTAATGTCTGATGAGGAATGAAGTTAGTATGTGCTCTGTCATCCTTCCAAGCAGCTTCTATTTTGGGCGTGGTGACTGGGGTGAGGTGCATTTTTGGATCTCTGATTTAATGTCCTCGAGCCTTAGCTTCCCCTTCAGGAATGTAATAGCTGCGCTTAAATCCCACACAGAGGCTTCATTGACGTTTACCAACTCGAGGACCAGCTAGAAAATCCTAACCCCCAAAACTGATGTCAGAGCCGGACACCTAATAAAACCTCCAAATGACTGGCCTCGCTACCGACTCAAAAGGTGACTCAATACAACACCAAACCCCAAAGCACTGAGACAACAACTTAGAGTGAGCTAGGAAGTGCTCTGGGAGAAAATGTCAGGACGTAAGTAGATGCATTTTTAAATGCTTTTTTAAATTAACTACAGAACTTGCAAATGAAAAATAAGAACTAGCACAGAAAGCTGAGTCAGGGGTGTGTGGCTCACGGCAGCCAATATCCTGCAAATGACGCTGCCAGTAATTGGATACAAGATCCCGCAGCCCTGGTGTTTGACACCCAGCTCTTGCTATCTTGGGCATCTCCATATGCGGGCATCTGAGAAGCACCTGTGGGGCCGGAGAGGCTGGGGCCATTGCTAAATTCTGCATCGCAACACCTCCGCCCTCCTTCCTGGCTCCGGGGTGCAGATCTGTTCATTACATGAGACTGATTGAAGCAGGATCCTTTCCCCACCCCGCCCCCCACAGAGAGGGGAAGGGAGGGAGAGAAACATTGATCGGCTGCCTCTCACAGGCCCCCAACTGGGGACCAGGCCAGCAACCCAGGCATGTGCCCTGACTGGGAATCCAACCCGAGACCTTTTGTTTTGCAGACCAGTGCTCAGTCCACTGAGCCGCGCCAGCCAGGGCCCCCGCAGCCTCCTTTTAACGGAACCCCGCTCAAATGCCTTGAGCAAAACATGTAAGTAATTTCATTTTCCTCTGGTGTAGGTCAATGCTAACGGCTAATTCTTTTTGTCATTGAGGAATTCTTTGACCACCTATAAGTAAATATTCTGACAAATAAAGAACTGTCAATGAAAAATTCCTTTGCTCTTTATTTTTTTCCCCGTAGGTCCTTGGTATCAAAACACAGAAATACCTCACACTAGTATTGTTTGCCACAATATTAGAATTATTATGGCTGGGCTTAATGCAAAGCTAAAAAGAAGCTTGAATAATTAATTTAAAAAAAAGCCGTGGCCAGGTTGTTTAGGTGTTTTTGGAGCGGCATCCCACGCGCAAACAGGGCTGCAGTTTCGATCCCTGGTCAGGGCACATACCTAGGTGGCAGGTTCAATCCCCAGCAAGGGCACATACAGGAGGTAAACAGTTGATGTCTCTCTCTCTCTCTCTCTCTCTGTCCCCTTCCTGCCCTCTCTAAAAATCAATAAACATATCCTTGCATACAGATTTTAAAAAAACAATCTAACAGGAAGCTTTATGGAGTGGGTCACGGTAATTCGTTCTTGAATTCCATTTCAGCGTCTCTGCCTCGTCACATTCGGGAAGTACTCTTTAAATGCAAGTCTAAGTCATTTCTATTAAAAGTTACAATCACAGAGCACATGCAACAAAAAACCTCCCAGCCCCCAGAATGCAGTCTCGGGAGAGTAATAGCACACATATTACTTACAAAAACGTGTGTTTTGACTTCCAGGTCACCCAAAAAGAAAAACGAAACTATTCAGAAGCAACTGCAATAAAACTTTCTAGAAATCCGAGTTCTTTCTTCGCCTCCCGTCTGCCCCGGGAGCCTGGGCATGAAGCTGCTGGTCTCTGTTTAGTGGGAAACTAGCCAAATAGTGTACGATTCCAAATCCTGGCTTTTTCTTACGGTACCTAAGGGTTTTAGGAAATAAATAGGTCAGTGCAAGTATGCTTGAAAGAGAAACACCCAGCATGCCTCGGTTCGCGTGGTAGCTGACGAGGTCTCTGCTCGACTGAGTGCATGTCCTTCTTTGGCGGCTGTGCCTGCGGAGCTGGCAGGCGCCCCGCAAGGCTGCTGGTTGCCCCTTAGATACACGCCTCGGAGCCACGGGCTTGCCCGGGACTCCAAACAACCGGAGGACCGCAATCAACAGGGCCAGCGGAAGGTCGTGACTTGCAACCGGGAGGATGGCCGGTCAGAGGACTCCTAGGGCTGCTAGCAGCTCCCGACACCGTAGTGAGGGGGAGACTGGCTGCAGGCCTATTGCAGGTGACACAGGTACTTTGTCTCCTCAACTTCCCTTCCCGGGGCTTCTTTGCCTGAGGGGCCTTTCTTTTTGGTCAGTCCCTCACACGTGTGCCGGGACTAGATGGATGCCAGTCGTCCCCGAAACACACGGCACGTCGAGGGTAAAACGTCCGCTCCACAAAATTCTTTTTACATCACTGTTCAGTTTGGACCTCCCCCAACACTGGGGAAAAAGAAACGGCATTTTCTTAACCTGCATCTGTACTGGGGACCTGTTCAAAAGCACATTACACATTTAACTGTTGATGCCCAATTTCTCAAAACATGAAAATGTTTGTCAGCTGTTACTTTAATTATTGTGCCCAGTTTTAAAAAACAGTCTCCAAACCACGTGATCTGCCTCAAGCCATCCCTCCTTTGAAGAAGTAACAAACAGCAGGGTCTCATTTGCTGTGTTTTTCTTCCCGGAACCTGACCACACCCCAGGAGGGAAGAGAAGGGAGAGGAAGCCCTTCCTCTTTCCAAAGTCTGAATTCGCCAGACTTTGACCCCGGAAGGGGTGCCCGCGCACAGGTGGTGAGCAGCCAGGCCTCTGGACTTCCACGGGAGAGCACCAAGCGACAGAGCCTGCCTCGTTTGTCCTGTGATGTCCTAAAAGGCCACATCAGGAAGTGCTTCGCGTCACAGAAGAGAATAGGTGCCCTCGCATGAACTGGTTAATCTGGGGACATTTTCAAGGATTTCTTGCTTTTCAGGAAAAGCTGTGACATCTCACTGCATCTTGATTCAACGCCCAGGCAATTCTGTGAACGCCATCAAAGACACAAGTCACAGTTGCTGACTGCTCCCACAATTAATGTGTGAGCCTCAAAATGAAGAATGTATTTGGCAGGGGCCATTTGAAATTCCTTTAAACCAGCAGGATTCAAGGAATGAACTGGTCGACACTGTGCCATTTGCCAGTTTTGAGAAAACTGAAGCATTTTTGTGGACGTCATCTCTGAGCCTCCTGGCAGTCTTCCTTCACCTCTCTCCTCCTTTCCTTTTGGTTAATCTTTGAAAAATGCCTCTGGGATTTGTAAGCAGAATGTGGCTTACAATTAGAATTGGTAGAATAAAAAATGTTTGAGAACTCAAAAAAAAACCAAAAAACAAAAAACAAAGGAAACCCCTTAAGGATTTTTATACATTGAATCCCCAGTAACCCCATCTAGCAACTACCCACCCATTTCATGAATTAAAAGGACATTATTTGCACATGAACATATTCGCCGCTTCTTCCCCCTCAAACCTGGTAAGAAGGCAGAACAGGGATAAATGTGAGAAAACTACGAGAATGAAAACAGGAGGAAACACTACTGAACGAGGCTCCTAGCAATGTGTTGACGGTGGAAAGGAGATACTGGTGGGGGAGGGGGATCCTGCCTCCGGGGACTAGAGGGTGACCCCTGGCAAGCAAGGGGACCGAGGACATTGCAGAGTCCAGGCGGCAGCAAAATGCAGGCAGCCAAGTTCCAGTTAGAAATCAAATGCAACAGGAAGACTGAATGACCATGTACAGAAACCTCTCACAAAGGAAAAATAAGAAATAAGGCCAGAGGCTCAATCCAGTAGCGTCAGCATCTCATGGAGTTTCCAGAACAAACAAACAAAATGGAGTGTGGGGGGGGGGCATCTGTGGTCAGAAACTGAAAAATATTTTCCAGCTGCCAGAGCCCAAAGCACAGTGTCAGGCAGTTTTAGACCAGCTCTAAGAGCAGAAGGAAAACAGGGAAACAGATCAGAAATAAAACTGCATCAGATGCCACACTTTCAATGCAAGTGTAGAGCTTGCCTTCCAATTCCGGATTTCCTGCCTAGGATTTCACATCCCAAGCCAACTGCCTCTCAGGCACATCGTCTCCGAAGAGCTCCCCTCCCACGCCCCTGCGCCCAGCAGCCATTGAGGACGCGTCCCCTTTCGCAGCGAAGTTGTCCGATGCTAAAACACGGTCTAGGCAATGCAGAGCCCAGCCCGAGAGGAAAACCAATCCCACGAGGAAGGCTCGGCGCACAGGGCACGCACGGATGGAGAGGAAAGCCAGTCTCCACGGGACCGGCCGGGGCTAAGCCCACGGGCAAGGGCTGGGAGAAGCCTTACAGACTAATGTGGGAAGAGTCAGTGGTGCGTGTAAGACCAAGCTGACTCCAGGGCAGAACGTTTGGGGAATGCAAAGTGTAAACACAGTGCCCTGTCCTATTCGGGAGTGAAGAGAAATACGGTCGCTAAGGCAATTTAACCAAAGGCAAGCGGGGAGATGATATGGACAGGCAAACACCTTCACCCGTGGAATGGGACGCTGTCAGCTCAACAATGCTCATCCCTTGGGAACCTGAAGCCCAGGCGCTCGGGAGACAGAAGGCTGGCTGGCCTCCTGGGACTGGACAGAGGGGACAGGGAGCTCCCCTTCTTCCACCTGGGGGACTAGCGACCTTTGCACACACATCACCTCAGTAAAAATGCCTTTTTATTTAAATATATGCACATATGAAATGGACAATTTAGAAACAAAGACTATTTGCAATCTCTTTTCCATGGCTCTAGCTCACTACGGGCGCCCGGTGATAACAGGCGACCCGAGCTCTGGGCTGAGTCTGGTTTCCATGTGCTGTGTGTGAGCGGTGGACACCCCCTCCACCCCCTGCCAGTGACTTCTTTAGTGTATGCTCCTCCATGCCTCCGCCGCCCGGCCACCGATTCCGGCACTGATACCGGAGTGCCGGGCCCGTGAGCTCCGCTCTGCCGATGCCGCTTGTGCGGTGTCATTTTGATGGAGTGTAACAGTAAATCCTAATGCACAGTCAAAATGCTTGTGCCCAACTTTTTGGCGTCTCTGAGCCACACATTAAATACACAAACACTAACGAAAACTGATGAGCAAAAAAAAGGTTTTAAGTAAATATACGATTTTGTGTTGGGTCTCATTCAAAGCCATCCTGGGCTGCATGTGGCCCATGGGCTAGACAACCCCGTCCTGTTTTGAAAAGTGAAGAAACGCCTCCTTGAGCAACCAAGAGGCTTTGCAAGCATCTTGAAAGTCAGCAACCGGAATCCCAGTGATATATTGCTGCTTTTTTCCATCTATTTTCATGTTGCCAAATACACGAAGTGTGGTCCCCTCCCTCCCTCCCCAATGTCATCATTTTGAACTGTGTACCTTGAACCCATAAACGTTTCTTCTATTAGAAAAGAAACACTTTCAGTGTGAAAAGATCTTTATTTCAAATAAAGAGCACAGAACTTACAACAGGTGAAACTAGTGCTACCGCCCCTCCAAGGCCAGGGTGTGCGGCCTCGCGGGCGCGTGTGCGCTGGGACTCCCCCGGGCTGGCCCGGCGGTGCTGCTGTAAGGTCTCATGGTGGGATTCCCTTTGTTGATCCGAGTGACAAAACTAAAATCCTTAGGTTCTATTTACAATTAAAAAAGTAGCAGCTTTTTCAGAATAGCTCCCAAAATTGGATCCAGCTCATTGTCTAAGATGTTAAATTAAATATCTTGTGATATCTATACCATTAAATCAGTATATCTGACAACCACAGTATATTTCACCTTGGCTATTAGTTTTCTTATCATGAAATACCATATTTCTGCTCTCTTCATAAATAGAAAACATTACAAACACTTTATTCATGGTTTACTGATGATATTTACAGAGAATATTCAATAATCAGAACTTAACCACTTACATTAAATTATAAGTCACATGACCCTGGCTACAAAAGCAATCCATGTTGACCCGAGATAAAAACTGTCTACAGAGTTTAAATACATTAGAAATTACAAAAGAAAAAGAAAATTGGAAATTAGAAAGTAGTCTTCAAGTGCTGAAAATCTAGAAGAACTCTCCAACATCTGCTCTCTTATCACGACACTTGCTGCGAGCTTTGGTTCGCGCTTTGAAGGCCGCGGAATTATATAAATGCTGAACGGAAGAGAAGGAAGACACAGTTGTGACTCACAGAGGCTGAAAGCGGTCTTAGAAAATTTTTAAAAAGATACACAAAAATCACCAAGGAGAGAAACGAACTAATTCAACCCTATAAATATTTTACATGCTTAGAAAACACACATACAAAAAAGAACAAGGGGGAAATTAACATATAATAATTGATGGCTATTTATATTAAGAAAATTCCAATGAAAAGAGTAAAAGAAGAAAAAAGTGCATCGATGTTGAACTTGATCTAGGAAAAGTCAGATCATGAACTAATGCAAAAAAAGCTTCCAACCATGTCATCAATAACAAAAAGTTCTATTTTAATGCCAATTAAACAAAAATGAATCTAATTCCTGTTAGGATAGCAGGAGATGAGCAGAAAGTCTACGTCTGAACCCCCCCCCCCCGCCCCGCACTGCAGTAAAGCGCCCCCATGCGCAGCACGTGACTCGGGGCGGGGGTCCCGAGGAACCGAAGCCCCACACAGAGCAGAACCTGGCGCTGGTGGAACCACCGCTTGGGCCGCGCTTCGCTAGGGGGCCTTTTGGTTTGTTGAAAACAAACAATAAAACCTACCCTTTCGAAACGAGAGATCTTCATCGTTTTCAGCGCTGCTGCGTCGAGCATCACAGGGGGTCCAAGTTCAAATACATTGCGAAGGAATTCATTTGACTTTGGGGGAAGAAAAAGGCGGTGAGGCCCAGCAGTAACCTCAGCACCCCCCAAGCCCCATACACTGAAATCTGAGGGCAGGAGTTAGGAGGGGCGTGGGAATATGAGCCGGAGGCCTGTCTTCTGCCTCTCCCCCGCGGACCGCTGTTTGCCAGCACCTGGAACCCGAGGGGGTCGGCAGCCATTACGGTGCGAAGACACAACGCAAGCCAAGCGGACGGTCTGTTTTACTCAGTTCACCTTCTCAGGTAAGTGTGCCGCTCTGCATCGGGCTGAATGTATTCCGTGCATTCCACCGCCTTCAAGGGCAGCCGGGAGCCCTGTCCGAACCCGCGGCCTTGCCCCGGCGAGCAGAGCGAGGGCCCCGGCACTCACCTGCAGGTGGTACTGCATGCCCGAGCCCAGGACCTCCTTAAACGTGTCGTAGGTGTGCTTTTTGACCCAGCAGTCAATGTACATGCGCTCAGGACCAAATTTAACAGTTTCTGTTGGAAAATCCCGTTCCTAGCCAACAGAAAAACCAACATTGTAAGAGGAAGTAAATGGCTAAAGAGATGCTACATAAACAGTTTCTAAAAAGACGTGTACGTGCTGAGCTACGTGACCAAGGTGGTTTACCCTGATGCGTGACCCCGAAGTGTGGCAGACTAAGCGGTGCCCTGTCTAGGGGCGGGGGATTTCCCTAGTTGTAGCGACACAAAGGCAGAACCCAGTCGGGATAAGTATTAAGGGGAAAACCACGCTGTTGTGAAAGTTTTAAAATTTCTACAGTGTGCCGCAAACGTGAAGGACAAGTCAAGCGTCTGCATGGGTCGAGGTGCAGGGCGGGAAGGGGAGGGGAGGAGGTCCCGGGACACGGCAGCAAGACCCCCGGCAGCCACGGGTGGCACCTGGGGCGGTGGGGTCAAGGAAGAGAGGGAGGGCCAAGGCGGTCAACGGGAAGACGCGCCCGGAGGCTGGGGCCTGAGAGCAGGCCCCCGAGAAAGTGAGAGGTGACCCCCGAGTTCACGGTGTCAGAGCCTGAACGATCTCGCCAGGAGACAGCACCCAAAGTGTCCCCATAGGAGGGGGCCCAAGTGCATGGAGATGACAGGCCACCAAACACGCACAGCAGCAGGTTTCCCGAAAGGACAGGCACGTCACCCGAAAGGGATGGGCCCCGGTCTGCCCCTCAGGGAGGAGTGACGAGCACAGAGGAGCCAGGAGAACAGCCGGTTGCCACGGGGACAGTGGACAACTGAGGCAGGGGGACCCGTGCAGCAGGACCACCCTCCCCGCGTCCGCCTGAGCCCCCCCTTCTTTGGCGGGTGCCCGGACGCAGGGCCAGAGGAGCCAAAGCCCGGAGACGGGAGGAGGAGGGAGGGCGGGGGGCACGGGGCCGCCCCGCTGGGCGAGGCTGGGGCCTGTGAGCGCTGGCGCACGCTGAGATGCCACGCAGCGTCCTCGGGAGAGGCCTGCTGCCCAGGGAGGGCGCAGCAAGACAGACAACGTGAAGCAAGGTCTGACTCAGCCGGTCCGGGGCACACCTCTTGTTTTCATAGCTGCTGGTTTTCTGGAGTAACTGAGCAACTCCCGCGTTTGGGCTACTGTCTGTGGCTACGGGATTCAAATGCGGGGATAGGTTAGTCAGGCAGGCAAAGGGCTTCCTTTTTGGGGATACTACCACACTAATCAGAACGTAAACAAGATCAGCTGTTAGTGTGGATGCCTGCTCAAGGTGGGCATTTTGTTTTTGCTTTTTTTAGGTTATGAAACCCAGAGTAAATATCAGCTACTACTATAACATAACCAGTCAGCACTGTCCCAAAGCTTAGATCGCTGAGCATCTCTGTGCAACTTAATCCCCAGGGTTCACTTCCTTAAAGAGATTAAACTGAAGAAAGCAGTTACACAGGCTCCACAGGACCATCACGGGACCACGGCACACGGGGAGCTGGGCGCGGCCTGCGCTTCTGGGCTCTAACCCCCACCCTCAGCTTCGCGGGCACGCCAGGTCGAAGGACCCTTTGGTGAGGCACTTATTAAAAGAACCGCCCTTTCCATCCAAGACATGTTTTCATCTGGACACACACACAGAGCCAAAGCCTCTGGTCCCCAGGAAGGCCGCCTCTGCCCTACAGTTCGCTTGCACTGCGCGTTCTAACCCGACGGCTCCCAGATCCAGGCATTTGCCAGGCGGCCCGGGGCAGGCTGGAGGGCCACAAGCATCCGGTGTGACTTTAAGTGGTCTTGTTAAAGGGCTGGATTTTGGCATTTCAGTTTTTAGCACCTTAAAGGTATAAGGGATAGGCAACAATGTATTTTTCACAAAAAAACCCCAAAAAACCCAAACCCCCCCGCCAAAACGCTACACTAAGTATGTACATGCTAAGCACCCCTGCTCCTAGGATGGCCAAGGACACAAAAGTGAAATACGTTTCCATCACTATGAAATTTTTTAACTTTTTAAACCTAATAAAAGAGCGCCTTTATACATCAGCATTAAATTATCCTATGTTGAAAAAATACAAGTTTTCATTTCTGTTGTTAAAAAGCCTCTCAGTATTAAAATGAGAAAATCATCTTGGTCAAAGGTGAAGTTCAGTGAACAGAAGGACCCGACCGCCCAGGCCGGCCTGGAACACTCCACCCTCGGCCCGAGCCACTCACCTCCACCGCCCGCAAGACGTCTCTGAACACCGACCGCTGCTTCCTCTTGTCCACTTTGGCCCGGTGTTTATTCCCGTCTGTGGCCAAAGCCCGGAGCATCTGAGTCAAAGACTCTATGTCTTCATACAGGACGTCCTGGCAAGGAACAAACAGGCCGGTTCAGCGTGTCGCTGGTGTCTCCCCCACCGTCTCTCCCAGGCCCACGAGAGCCGTCCCCTCGGGAGCGCCAAGCAGCGCGGCGAGGCTCAGAGCCACACCGAAGCGTCGCGCTGCTCAGTGCCGGGGCACCGACATCACAAAGTCACCACGCCGGCCGAAGGCTACGAAAGAGTCCACACCGCACGTTCGCCACTACCAGGACCCCGATTTCCAACATATGTATTCATCAACACTTGGTTTAATTTCTGAATACCCTTCCACTCACGCCTTCCAAAAGGCCGTTTTCTCAACAAAAATAGCAAATAAAACACTCAGATCTATTGTAAAAGACAGTTCATTTTTACTTTTGACAAGGACTTAGGTCCAATGACACACTCCTGGCTATCTCATACGATTTACTCAGGCAGAGAACGTAAGATGTATACGTGGTAATATATAATGTTTACACAAATTTAAAGAAATTCAACGTCTATAATTTAAAATGCATTATTAGCTCCCCTTGGAGGTGCATTTCAAGGGGCAGAGGATCTCGCATTTGTAGCCAGTGGAGGACCAGGCTGACCTGGGCAGCCGGCTCGGCACAACGGAGCCGATGGCCCCTCGGGGCCCCATTTCTCACGCGGAGAGAACCATCGGCTGCCGACAGCACTAACGGCTTACTTTTCGTTCCTACCTGCTATCCTTCAGAAGCAGGTGGGAGGGGACTGCGGTGCCAGGAAAAACCATTTCCCAGGTAGAAAGTCTAAGAGCCTACACAGTTTTTAATCCTCACCCAGGAGTTTGTTTACTGATTTTTGAGGGAACGAGAGAGACATCGGTTGCCTCCTGTACACACCTCAACCGGGAGTCAAACCCACATTTTGGTGTAGGGAACAACGCTCCAACTGAGATCCCCAGCTGGGACAAGCCTGAGTTTTCAAATACAGGCCTAGGATGGAATGTGAAGGACGAGGGCAACCCAGAACGTGTGCTAATCCTGGCTGAACTTATTCACCGTTAAATAATTGCGTTACAGAAGTTTCATCCCAGAAATACAGCCCTTCTCCTTCAATTAAAAAGCACCCAGTAAGTAACCAAAGATTCACAGCCACAGTCAGAGTGATGAAACGTCCCACTGGCCTGAGAGGAAAAGCCTCCTAGAGCACAGGACTTTCAGTCTGAGCTGGGGCGGTGGGTCGCCTGTCAGAGACTCAGACGCCACCGCAAGCGAGCTGTGCAACTGAACACTGGCGCGTGTGCGGCGGCAGCTGCGAAGCCCAGGTCTCCGTCTCGGGGGCCACGTCTGTTCCCTAGTGTGGCTTAAATGTTAAACACGGTGACTAAACCTTTCGGATCCCAAACCTAAGCTGACTCAATACACCACCCTCTGTCTAACATTTATTACAAAGCATTCAGATGTGCCTCACGTGTGAAAAGTCCCCGCAAATGACCCAGAAACAGTGCTCTCCCCAGGCAGCGGAACGCGCCCCTGAACGCCGGTTCTACCGACACCAGCGGTTTCGTGTACGGACTTCATTCTGACGCTGCTCGGCCGACCCCGACTGGTCTGTTTCTGGAGGTCTTCTACCGCTGCCAAGAAGCAGGCCCGCCCGCGGCTGCCAGGCTCTCCAGCTGGCCGGGTCCAGCGCTCCCATCCCATCCTGCACCGCGAGGACAGTGGCATCAGTACGGTCCCAAGGGACACTTACACTCTCCACCCCGCGGGCCAGTTCAAACAGCAGCGCCAGCGACTCCCCGGCCGCGATCCGCATGTTCACGTCCTCGGATGACAGCAGGCTGGGCAGTTTATGGAAATGCCTAGGAAACAGCCGGTCATTACTGGGCGAACCCCAACAACAATGCCAATAAATGCTTTTATAAAAGAGGAGGCTCAAGAAATACACACATCTCTAGCTTTTTCTTCACCTCACTGATCGGGCAGATGGTCAGCAGGAGCGTCCAGGCGAGGAGCGAGCTGATGTACAGCACCGTGTTGGGGCTGCTGCTGATCACGTTGGTGTCCTTCTCCTTGAGATAGGCCTTGGTGAAGATGTTTTCCAGACATTCCAGGGTGGCGTACAGCTCCTAGAGCACAAGAGGACGAAGTGAGGCACCCCCCCAAACCTAAACGTGGCAGTAACCGCAGCCACGGGCCCGCTACTCACAGTGATGTCGTCGGTGGCGATGAAGCAGCACACACCAAAGCAAGTGGCGCACTAAACAAGGGAAAAGAAAGTACAGACGTGAGCGCCTGTCGTGTTCTTGTCAACGCCACACTTCCTGCGGTTCTAGTTCAATGCAAGGACGTCCTCAATGACCTAGCCACATCAGGTCCCAGGCAGAGTCCTCAAGGGAGAGTTCAGGGCCGGGGGGCGGTCTAGGCCCAAACCCGCCCCCCAGAGCAGGGCAGGACTTCAGAAGTCACCGCCTTCTCTCAGCCCGCTTCGTTCACCTGGGGATCGCTTCAAACTCCGACTCAGACAGAGATGAAGTTGGGGCGTTTGAGATACACAAAACCACTCTTCCTATTGAAAACCTTCAACGCATTAAGTTTACTATAGATTTTTAAGCTTTTACAATCATTTCTTTTAATATAGTCTACTATGAAAGCTTCTGAAAAAAATTAGCTTCCAAAAAGTAAGCAACCAAGAGCAGAAATCTCATAAAATTTAAATAATCACCCTCAAACTTCTCACCTAAAGCAGCACTTCATTAACCCAGACTTTACTTTGGAGTATGTTGAAAAGAGGCTAGGAATCTACAATTGCCTTCTGCTGGGAAACAGGGGGCCAAAGCAAGCCCAGGACGAGACCCTCAAGGGAGAGCTCACCCAGCAAACGAGTGAGCGCCCAGCCGACACACGATGGCCTGCTCGCACCCGCACGGCCTCATGACGCGGCTCTGGCCGGCCAGCCACCCAACAACGGGATTTGGGATGGGCGAGCGCTCCTTGTGCCCGGGCCCCATGCCTCCGCCCATCGTCACTGACCCCCTCCTGCCGCTCCAAGCATCCCCCTCCCCACCTGCACGTGTCCCGCCCAGACCCTGTGAGCTCGGAACCGGGGACGTACGGTTTGCCTGGCCTGGACGCTGGCTGTCCCGTCGCAGAGGATCTTCCTCAGGACCGGGCCGAGCGTCTTGAGGACCTCCTCGCTCTCGATACCAGGGCCGAGCTGGACGCAGAGCGCGGACGCCAGGGCCGCCGCCGCACGCTGCTCGTCACTCTTCCCTGCAACAGGAGCGGGGGCGGCCCTGAAGTCTCCGCAGCACGAGGGCAGGACCCCCTCAAGTCTGTCGCGTTTCCAGACTCACCCCGCCATCTATGAAACCCGTAAGAGTACATGCGATCCACTGCGCGCTGTGACGTGAGCGGTGACCAGCGCGACTAGAGAGCGTGCCCCCATCCTGGACCCACCGCCTTGCAGCCCAGCGACCTCCGACGACTGGCGCCCCCCACTTCCTCGGTAGGGCGCAGAAGGACATGCAGCTGGGGCGGGGCCAGGCAGTCAGAAACCAGGGTGTTTCCGCCGGGACCTCCCGAACCTTCCTCGCACTCACAGATGGGTGCGCACCCCTGCACTCCCCCCACAAAACTAAACTCGCAGAGCGTTTCAGGTGCACACAGCCCGTGGGGTCAACTAAACCTTCAGGGAGCCCCCCAGGAGAGATGAAAAATAGAGCGCCCTTTAAACCCGCAGAAACCCATTCGTACAAAGGTAAGTGTGAAAGGAACGCTTTGGAGAGCTGCAAACACTGAAGGATTTGGGCAAGTTTTGAACTGAAGTTGTTACCTGATGCTACCGAGTCAGGGGCGCTGACCTCTTTTCCCTTAGACCGTCAAACTTAAAAATGACAACAGTCAACATGACAACAGCCGTCCAGTGTGCATGAATCAAAATTATACCCATTTTTGGGGGGTCAGATCAGCAAAAACAAAATTTTTGGTGTGCCACAGAACTTCAGCAATCAGTCACCATGTGCCGTGAGCTGAAAAAGGTGGAAACTCGCTGACCTCCGGCACTGAGTTCCATGACCTGAGCCAGTCTCCACTCTCAGGCTTGCAGGGGGCTGCAGAGCGCGGGGACAGTTTAGGGTTCCAAACACCTGGGCCTGACAGGGCTTCGGGGACGGCGAGATGAGAGCAAGTGCACAAAGCAAGGCTCATTCCATTGAAAGGAACGTGTGCTTCCTACAGGGTCAGTGCTAGAAATATTTTGTTCGTAAAGTCATGATCATAGTAGAAGGTAATTATTTCCATAATGTTCTCACTTGGGAAAATAATTCAGGAGGCAGCTCCCAATCTTCTTAATTTTGGTGGTTCCTAAAATTGAAAAGCCTGGTAATGCTAGCCTTAATCTTTAAGGCCTTTATTCTTAAAAGTTCTATGACTATTACCATATCAATTTCAGAATCTCTGTTATAAAGTTCTAGAATTCAAATATTCCAAGGGATACCCTGAAAATGATGCTATACGCAAGCATCACTGATGCTTCAAATAAGTACAGAGAAAACGAGACAGAAAATTATGGTAACTTTTCAGTTTTAGAAAAGTGAAGAATGGCTTTTTGAATAATACTTTTTGTTGACATCCGACACTAGCTTTCAAGCCTTCATCATGCACGTGACAACGGTCATCACTGGTCTGCTGTAAGAAAGGACGACATCACCCCAGTCCTTCCTAGTTTCGAGCTGTTTCCACATCAACAAAAACAAAGCTCCCACAAGCCTGCCCGACAGCTAGAAGGCTGTAAGGGTGAGCCGGGTCTGGTGCAGTGGGCGAATAATACTGCAGAGCAGGTGGCAGATCCCCTCTCAGTTCTGCACCTGTAACCCAAACAGGAGGGTGTTACCTTTTTTCAGGCAGCGTTCGATGCTATCGGTTAGAGTCATTCTTCTCTCCAGAATGAATTCATACAGCATTTTGGAAGCCAGTGCATTTCTGATACCTTCCAGAGCTGCCTGCCTTGTCTTCGCACTGTTTGAGACAAAACGTAAGAGAAAGGAGGCCCGGTTGGCGTGCGCCACCAAGGGCTTTTAAAAGCTTAGCTTATCACCCCACCCCTTTTTTTTTAATGTTTATAGGTTTTTAAATCTAATTGTCATCAAGCTCTGAACCTTTTTCAATAATGTAATTTTCATCTACAACTCACCTCATTACACAAAAGATTGCAAGCTGCTTTATATCACAGCATTTTTCTGTTTATAGTTTAATAACCACAACTTTAAATGACTACCTGGTATTTTATAGTTTCAATGTGCAAAACGTGTTCTTGTATATTTCATAAATATCTTCTCTATTTAAAGCAAACACATCTTTGTTTAACACTACAAAAGCCTAGATAGAGTTTTGCTTGCATCTTCGGAGCTTTTTAATTCTTTGTTTTAAGTCCATTCTAAAGCTACTGGGAAGTAAAACAATTTGATATTTTTTCCTGTCCATAACACAATTAGTGAAAAAGAGGCTTAAAGGGAAGTTTAGTTTTCCTTCCTAGTTAAAGATTAACTTTTAATTCAACAAATCCATCTCAGCTATGCAATCAAACACAGGTACGTGCTATTATGCTGGAACAATGACTAACCCCGAGTCAGTTAATCTAAGTTCTATGGCATCTTTCTACCCACATCAAAAGTCCAAAGAAACAAGAAACATTTCAACAGCCAAAGTAAATAAATCAAGCTTTTGAAAACACACTATATAACATCGGAGAACTGCGCAGGTCACTCTGCTCAGGTGGCAGAAAACGCCCAGTCTCCGGGTTTTCCTACCTCTTATCCAAGGTCAAGTCGATGAGTCCCTTCAGCTTGTACTCCAAGTCCTCTTGACTTCCTTCCTCCTCCAGGACTTCCGGTCCTAAGAAGCAACAGAAACCCACCAATTGCTGTCATTTCGGGAGACAGAAGGCAGACAAGGAACAGAGCTGTGGACCTTGGCTACGAGAATTCCTCCACCTAAAGCGTCCTCTGACTTAAAGTTGCAAAGCAAATCAAAATGTAAAAGTCATACCGTCCTCAGCAAAACTGGAAGGATCGCTGTAACCACTGCAGTGGCTCATTGTCTCGATCGATGCGTCCTCATCACTGAATGGCTGAACAGTTCGATGCTGGCCGCCTGTTAGGTAAGCGGAGGTGGAGGTAAGTGATTCTGTTACCACAGACACGAATGCTTAACTTGGGAATTTAGTATTTACTCAAGAGAAATCCAGTCATAAAACCCGAAAACTTATTTAAGAAATCAGCTACTTATATTATAAAATAACATAAATATTTCTAAAATAAGTCAATTCACCTAATAGGTACTTCAGAGCATCAACAATTTACAAGATACAACCAACTTCAGAAATACATCAACCATCTGACAGGAGCACCAGTTTACAAAACATGGTGTAGCAGAGGAAAAAATGACTTAGAAACCATAACTTCAAATCATGAAGACAATGAAAATAGATCCAGAAATAAAGTATGAGGCCACAGATCCTCATAGGACGAAGGCATTTCCCAACATGCATTGCCTAGCCTTAGGAACTGTTACCTGGTGAATGGATTAGTTTTCAGGTTACACATGTCTTATGTGAAGGGAAATTTAAGGAGTTACAGGATGGTAGTTTATAGACAAATTGAGAGGAAAAAAGGCTTAAAATGGAAGTTTTGGTATTAGACAGCATAAAAGCCTATTAGATAAATTACCTGTAAAAGAACGGTTCTAGTAAATGCAACAGTTTAAATCTGCTTTCTGAGTCACTCTCATTTCTTGTCACTGTTTTTGTAGGAATTTCATTAGTAACAGGATTGCCCAGACTCTAATTATACACTGAGCAATGAGTTAAAATTTTTAAGTCCCAAATCCACCCAAAAGTGACCTGGAGTCACTTGCTTTACTGCTGAGCCCAAGTTTCCTTATCAGGAAAATCAAAGATTGCCCTGGCCAGAGTGGCTCAGTTGGCTGGAGCATCGTCCCATAACCAAAGGGTTGCGGGTTTGATTCCTGGTCCGGGAGTCTACAGGAGGCAACCAATCGATGCTCCTCTCTCACATCAATCGTTCTCACTCTCTAAAAGCAATGAAAAAATGGTCTTCAGGTGAGGATTTAAAAAAAAAAAAAAAAATCAAAGACTGCCAAATATCACTACGTTGCTATATTCAAGAAATTTGTGGCATTTACTACAGTTTTTTTTTTTTTTAAATCCTGTAATTTTATGTCTGTTGCTGTTGGGTTATTTCAAAATAGGAGTTGTCTTTAAAAAAAAATCAAAACAGAGAAGAGATTTTTATATCAACAAAGGAAGCAAGCAGCCTTCAAATCTGCTTGCTACCCTCCAGGGAATACACTGTGCCAATCCAAGTAGTGAAGCATAAAAAAGCAGCAACAAAACCAAGATCCCAAAACTTCTTCATCAGCGTGCTGAGGACATGAATAAATAAACAAAGATCTATGACATCACACTCTATTTCTGGATCTTTGTTTTCATGATTTGAAGTCATGGCAACAAGTTGTCATCTGATTAACTTTTACCATACTAACATTTAGTCACCAATCAATTTATAAGCTTTGTGTTTCATATTCAGCTTATTGCTAAACTGTCAAGAAGAGCATTCCTATGGAGGATTTACTGGGCTTCCTTCTCCGAGTTTCAATGATTTCCCAAGACTTAAAGGGAGGAGAGATTTAAAAAGAGAGAGAGAGAGAGAAACCACCCTGTCTGAATACCTACTGTCTAAGTTGCCCTCACCCACCATGAGATGCCAAGTGCCACGAGTGAGGTGGAACTCTACGAACTCCTTATTTCTTAGGGGGCTGACTTGCTAACAAAGTTTGTTCTTCCTAAAAATGCTCTCTTCAAATTAAGCGCTATTACAAGTATGTGCACCTGCATGAGAGATCAATTTAATTAGCTTCCTGGACCCTCCACAAACTCAGAAAATAATTTAAAGAGAAAAGTCATTAGAGTAACAGAAGTGGTTTTTTGTTGTACCCCTTTCAATCCAATGTCTCCTAGATGTCATTTAAAAAGACCAATAAGGCAAGCGGCTTTTAATACCAGCGTTGGGCAATTTTCCATCTCTTCTACTCAACTATTATTCATTCATTCATTTATTAAGTAGTAAGTACATTTATTTATTTATTTGAGTAATAAGTACATTTATTTATTTATTGAGTAAGTAGTAAGTTTGTTTGTTTGTTTGTTTGTTTATTGAGTAAGTAGTAAGTACATTTGCCTGGAACAAAATTAAGGTAGAGTTAGCAAGTTCCAGTATAAACTTCCAAAAACACTCCAAGTATGTATGGTTTTATAAACTAATAAAATAATTCTTTTCCCATTTCTTATATGTGCTAAAATACAGTTGTTAAGTATACCATTTCTACTGAAAACAATAAAAAAGGTAGCAGCCATAAGACTGGTAAGTCAGGAATAGGGTAAAAATTAAAAGGCCAGCTCCCAGCACCACCTGAGATTATTGTGCTAAGTTCGGGAGGGGAGTAAAGGGGGCCAACAATGCGTCTCAGAAGGGAATACAGGCTGTTTGTAATTCAAGGGGGCCATTAGCAACAAGATTACAATATTCAAATAGCTTTAGCTTGCTATTTTTTCATTTCATCAACAAAAGGTTAACTTAAGGTAAAGAGGGATCCTCAATTTACACAGAGTAACCAGGTGCCAAAATAATGTTATTTCACATTTTGATGATCAAGAATGAACTTCAGGAACATCAAGAGCATCCAGTCAATATAAAGAGCAAGAGAAAGAAACTGGAAAAAACTGAGTTTATGATAAGCCATTCCTATTCTCAATCATTTAATATTTAGTACATGGCCACAAGTTTTCTTGCTGCTAGAAGTCCTATAGCTAAGCTTGTAAAATGCTAGTTTCCAATCATCTGTAACAAGAAAACTGGCCTATATTTTCTGATGAACAAAGGTGCATCGTTCTGGGGATCAGAGGGACTACTGTGTTGACAAATGCCTAATGACTATTTCCGATGTGATAGCCTGAGGATATTCCAATACTTAACTTCAAAATCTCAGAACTGTGACTAAATGAGTTTAATGTGGTGTCTCGTAGGGCTTTCTGCTTGAAGTCCTTTCATGTTGACTGTGTAATTAGTAGTAGAAGTCATGAATTCGGTTAAGCACCTACCCATCCTGGAAAAGCTTCAACTTTGCAGTGAGGACACAAAACAATTTAACTTCTGGCCAATTGCAACCTGAGCTCCCCACCACCTCCTATCCTGGGCTCAGAGCAGAGAATCTATAGCACAAAGGAGAACGTGGTTCCTGCCCCAGGGACAGAGAGGTCGCCTCCACTGGTCGCCGTGGAGCGGGGACCCGGGATTTCCGCAGGTGCCAGTTAGGAGTGGGAGCAAAGCCTGAGCTGAAACGGTGGCCCCCACGCTCCACCGCCTCCTCCCGGCCAGGGGGCCACGCGGGGCGCGCAGGAGGAGAGCGGAAGGGGATGCCACATGGGCGCCTCTGCGTCACCCCGCCACCGCGCGAGGCCCGGGTCGCGTGACAGAAGAGCCCGTCCAAACCCGGCAAAACGTTGGCATTCCCGAGAACTCCATGTTGGAGCAGGGGGGTCGGAGGCGACCAATGACAGCACGGACGCAACTCCGAGCTCTATCCCATCCTCGATCTCTAAAGCTCTAAAGCAGACGCTGTCTCTGAAGACGGTTACCCTCCTGCCCAGGAGCGCGTCACCCCGACCCCAATCCGATCTCCGGCCCAAGGACCCATTCGCCCCCTCCCCGCCCCCACCGCCAGTGCCCAAAGAGTTCGGTTCGCATGCCAGATCCAAATCGCGCGAGGCGCGGCCACCACGGCACGCTGGGAATTGTAGTTCGCCAGGCTAGTCAAGCGCCCTGCCGACGCACATGTCAGGAGAGAAAGAACTACAACTCCCACCACGCCCCAGGGGAAAAGACTCGCTAGACCGGCCGGCGACCGGGATACCGGCGACCGGGATACCTCCTTACCTGCTGTCGCCGCCGTCGCTGCAGCTGCCCCTGAACCGCCGCCAGCACTGCCACCGCGGTGGGCAGTGTTCCGCTTCTTGTTCTTCGGCATCGTGGGACGCCCGGTGCCGCCCAGACTCGGGAGATTAGCGAGGATCAGCCGATGGAGCTGCACTTTCTACTCGTGCGTCTGTGCGGCGGGCGGCTGAGAGGCGAGGCTTCGGATAACAACAGGGGCGAGAAGCGGCGTGGGTGAGAGTGGGCGCTGGCGGCTGCAGAAATCCCCGTGAAGAGCTGTGATCGGAAACGATGCATGTTTCTCTCTAGCGCGGGAGCTAAGGCGGGGCGGACGAGACCACGGCGCCTTAAGTAGCAAGACCGCCGACTGGTGTCACCAGATGTGGGCGGGACTCGAACTCTACTAGCCAATCCCCGTGCGTCTCCGCACTGGAGTTTCCCCCCCACCCCTCGCGCGGCCGCTGGACTCGGACTACCAAACCCAAGCCGCAGTTTGCCCGGCCGCGCCCCGGGAGCGAGGCTTCGTTGCCTCACTGAACTCTGGGAAATGTAGTCCTCTCCCGGCTCCTCCCAACGGGCTTTTCCGCGCCTAGCTCCCAGCTCGTGACCCCGCCCCTGCTTCCGGGCGGGGCCGGCTTGGAATGGATTTGCAGTTTTCACGGGTGATGAACAATCGGGCGGGTATGCCTGATGACGATAGCCCACTTCCATGCGGAAGCTGTGCAATCAGCTGGCCCTTCGTTCTCCAGCAGCTCGCGTAGTCCCCGTCTTCTACCTTTCCCCTACCTCCCTGCGGCCTGTGCCCAGGTACAGCCGTACCCCACCCTCGGAACGTCTCCGTGGTTGTAGTTAATGAATTAGGTTAGCGATCACCAGTATCTACAATTGAATTGTGGTTCAGGGCTCTGTGTCCGGAACTTCCCGAAAAAGGTGTGCCCGACCAGCTGAGTCGTGCAGTTCGTGTATTTCTCGTGTTCTAGACTAGAAAGACCTGGCAGTTCAGTGTCACAGGTTCTACCTGCCAGCGAGGAGGTCGGGATACGGGTTGGTTTCTGGGAACCTAACAGCTGCTAAAACGGATATGAGCTATAAATACCAATAATGGCAGTGTTTTGTTTTATTGTCCCCTCCCCCAAATGCTCCTCCATCTGTCTTCCTCGTTGAATTTGTTATGTATTCTATATTTAAGACTTGCTGTTACATTTGTGTTACTAAGTTTACAACAAACCAAACTCACCGAATCACCTCCATGTAGGTGACTCATCCCCACTCCCTCGCTCTCGAGTTCCAATTTTCCATCACCTGTAGCACCGGAAGCCCCCAGGGCCCCTCCGCCCTCCTCCTGTCTCCCTCCGTGTTCACAGTGCTGCTGTTCTCCCACGTGTCCAAGTTCAAAATCTCACATTCCTTTGTGGTTCCCCTCTCTGCCCAGCACCACCCCCCTGCCCCAAACAATCAGTTTTATAATAAAACTCTGCAATTCAAGTCCTATTCCTTAACCACACATGGTCTCGGGTCGCGCTGGGGACATTTTAAGGGATCTCCCAGTTATGGCACCAGCATGTCAGGCATGATGATGTTGCCAGACATATTTACTAATTCACATGCTTTAAGAGTGGCTCAGACACCTTCCTCGGCTCTCTTCAGCGATATACTGGGTGCCAGTCCTCTCAGGACAGCCGGGACGCCCTTTCCTGCCCCGCCGTCCCTGCTTCCCCAGACATGCGTGCCCTGCAGCCACAAGGCGTGCTCTCCATTTCCCTGCACGGCTCTGCTCCCCTCCCTCCAGTTTATCACTCACGTTGTCCCATGTCCTTGTCATGCCCTTCCCCCCCTCTTCACCTGGCCAGACGTTACCCATCTCTCAACATCTAGCTGATACGCCACCTCCTTCACAAAGTCTCCAACCAGAATTGTTTCTTCCTCCACACAAGCCTTCACACCCTTTGTAATGCCCAAACGGCGCTCATTACATGCACAGAGGCAGCCGTTCAAAGAAGCTATGAAAGAGCAACATTTCAGGGTTGCTTTCACGTGGTTTCATCCTTAAGCAGCAAGTGAACTGCCCAGAGCGAGTAAACCGGGTAAGAATGCAGGTCAGGGGACAGGGCTCCCATGGGTCCCTTGTCCTCTCCCTTCAGATGACCGCGGATCTGAGTCCCGTGGCCTTGGCTGACGCTGCCCTGAGGGTCCCGGGCTGGAGGCGTGTAGAACTGTACTCCCAGCTCTTCATCGTCCAGAAGCAGTTCAGGCAATAATTGTGCTGCTCTGTGAGCCACACCACCCAGGCTGCGGTCCGGGGACAGGCCTCGGAACTCGTGCTCGGCCTGCACCTGGGTGCCGTCCCTTCATCTGCCTCCGCTCACGGGCCGCTCTGCGGCTTTTCTGGGGCAAGCCTGGCCATGACCTACTGCATCACCTACACACTGGTTTTACATTGATTTGTCAACACGCCTGTCATCTCATGAAATTGCCAAGTCCCTTAGAGTAAGGACCTTGTTGTCATCATGTCTCTTCCTCAGGGCACATAAAGAATTATCTTCGTAATTATAGATAGTCTATGTTACATGAATGTTTAAGAAATACTAACTAGATTTTTCTGGGTCATGAAAAGGGATACACATTACACAAGTGGAGTGTTACTTTCAGTATAATGAACTCTGAAAGGTACTTCTAATAAAGTCATCTTAACTGCATTTTTGTGTCTACAGTTTAACTCCAGTTCAGTACAAATACAGAAAGGTTTAGCCATAAGCCTCATAAGACAGTGGTCCTTAACTCAACATACTGGTTTTGCAACATATTTGAACAAATTTGAAGACTCCCAACAACACTGTCACCAAATAACACGAAGTTCCAGGAGGAAAGGGGAACCGGACAAAAAGGCTTTCTCCCGGCCGGTCTGTGCGTTTTCATCAGGCAAAATAACCCCTTCCCCAAGCGCTTCACCTGCACCGCCTGAGCAGGCTTGTTACATCGTCACCACAAGGGAGTCTAGAAGCCAAGTATTTTCATCTGAGCTCATTGATGGTCAAATCTGAGGTTCTGTTGATAAGAACAAAGGGGAGGTGGTGGATGTAAGGTAGGTGACGAGCCTCGTGCACTAGGAGGCAAAGTTCTCCCGTCTCAAATAAGCATCAATCACGTCTTTGCTGCCAGCCTGACGTTACATGGTGCCTCTTACGTCACGGGAAGATGACTCCTCCTAAAAACGTAACCTACTCAGTTTAACATCCCACCTAACAAATATTACCATCATGGTAAGTATTTTCAGATGTGGCAAAAATAAATTTCACATTAATCTGAATTTGTGAACACACATGAGAAGAGTTCAAACCTCTCATGGGGTGTGTATACTGAGGAATGAGGTTCAAGAACAAGGAACACAATAACACTTGGTATTCAAACCTCCCTTGAGGACAGAAGCAGGAAAGGATTTCTTTCAGTGACTTTAGTTGTGGCTGCCTTGGTGTTCCCCCAGGTCCTCCAGCCAAGACTCACCTCTCACCACCTAAGGGCATGGTCCCACCCCTCCACCCTGTGAAGCCCCCTAGAAGGCGCTGGCACTGCCTACCGCTCCATCTCGTGCCCTGCGCACTTTGGGCCCAAGAGTCTCCTTCCTCAATCCAAAATACTAAGTTCATTTCCCCCTTGAGACTTGGTAACAGCTCCTCTGTCTGCCTGATAGGCTCCTCGCCTGAGCTTCCCAGCAGCTGTTCAGATTTCAACTTAAATGACACCTCCCAAGGAGGCCACCCCCACACCCCATTGCAAGGTACCCCCAACCCACCCCCACCAGCATGTGGGTTCTGCTCTCCTAAAGCCATCACACTAGCTGGTATTTTTCCAGCTCAATTATTATGGTCTCTCGTTAGAATCATGAGAGGAGATTTTGTTTTATTCACTGCTGCATCTTCAGCCCTGGAACATAGTAGATATTCAGTCCTGTTTCCTGAGTGGATAAATGGGTAAATAATTGAATGTCACTCATCTACCTGGTAGATCCTCCTCCCTTAAGTCCCAGGCCCTTGCCCCCCAACCCCATCTGATTTAAGTATCTGTCTCCTGGGTTCCTATAGTAACTTCCCTATAATGGCATCAATCATGTGCATTGTAATTCTTGATTGCTTCTCTGTTTCCCCTTCAGACACAAAGTGAGCCAAGTCCAAGTTCATCCTCTCTGAATCAGACCCCAGGGTGTGACCAGCGCGGGTAATGCCTTCCTGCAAATTGGAGAACAGCCAGGGCTCGGCCTGCTGAGCCGTCCGGGGCTGGAGTTCCCTCACCCCACCCTTCCCCAGGGAAACACCTGTTGAGAGGCGCCCTAGCAGATAGTAACTTCAATTCAACGAGTGAATTTCCTCTGTATCCAAGTAGTTTTCTTGAAGGCAAAGAAATGACTTTATGGGGAAGAACAAGACTGAGTTATTGAAAGTCTGCTCTGTCACCGGCACCGTTCTAGGTTATTTTGTTTGTTTTTAACCTCTGTACTGAGGTATGATGGGTACAGAAAAAGCTGTGCCTGTTTCACGTATGCAAGTTGATGGGTTTGGAGAGAAGGAAGAGACCACCACTGCAATATATTCAATCCATGAACATATCCATCCCTTCCAAGTTCCCTCCCACCTTCTCATGTGTGCGTATGTTAAGGACACTTAATTCTAGGTTCTTTCCACACGTCTCGTGGCTTCTTACAACACCTCATGGAGGAGCGCGTGCTCCGGCCACTGTGTGGAGGAAGCAGCGGGCTCAGAGTGGCTCTGCAGCTGCCCCAAGGTCGGCTTCTCGGTAAACAGCCCGTGAGGACAACCCAGGCCCATCTGATTCCAGGGCTGCCCCGGCTGGCCTTGGCCACGCGGAGCATGACTGCTCGTTCCCAGGAGTCACGGGTCGTGTTGTTTAGTGTCCCTTGACCTTCCAGCGCGGTTGGCTGCCTGCTGGTGGTTTGGCAGGCTTAGATTTCTCTGCTGTTTCTGAGGCTGTAGCAGGATTGTATGATCGACTAGCACTGTTATGTAATCAAATAATCTTTTCAATGATCACTTGTTACAGTTCAGGCTACTTCACTTTCTTGACACATTTGCCAGTTTTGTTTGTCACCGGGATGGCGACAGGTGCAATATGCTAAATGTGGGATCCCTGTCCATTTGTTCCTTCTAAGAAGTGCCTCACTGGCAAATTTAGTTAGAACTCCTTAGGTCTTAGAATACGTCTTGTTTGTCATTTCCGAGTTGTAAAGGAGACATCTCTTGTGGCGTCGTTTTGAAACTGCATACAGTCTCTCTAAGGAAATGTCTGACCAATCAAAGACAGAGTCATGTTCAGCTGTCTTTTCCAAGAGACCGCTGCCGGTCTCGCAGAGTGGCGGCACCAGCAGCGGCGCAGGCCGAGGCTGCGGGAGGCGGGC